TATACGCCCAGGAGTGGTATAGCTAGGTTCTCAGGTAGTACTATCTAAATTTTTCTGAGGAACCACCAAACTGATTTCCAGAGTGATTGTAGCAGTTTTCAATCCCACCAGCAATGGAGGAGTGTTCCTCTTTCTCCATGTTGTCACCAGTATCTGTTGTCACCTGAGTTTTTGATCTTAGCCATTCTGACTGGTGTGAGGTTTTTTTTGTTTTGGTTTTTGGTTTTTTTGTTTGTTTGTTTTTTTGTTTGTTTTGGTTTTTTTTGAATCTCAGGGTTGTTTTGATTTGCATTTCCCTGATGACAAAGGATGTTGAACATTTTTTCAGGTACATCTTGGCCATTGGCCTCTCCCTGCCTCTATGAGGGTACTCACCTACCCACCAACCCACTCTGGCATTTCCCTGCACTGGAGCATAGAACACCCTGAGGCCCAAGGGCCAGTCCTCCCACTGATGTCCAACAAGGCCATCCTCTGCCACATATGCAGCCAGAGCCATAAGTCCCTTTATAGTTTCCTCCCAGTTGAGAATTCTGTTTAGCTATGTTCTCCATTTTTAAAATAGGGTTATTTGGTTCTCTGGAGTCTAACTTCTTGAGTTCTTTGTATATATTTGATATTAGCCCTCTAGTGGATGTAGGATCAGTAAAGATCTTTCCAAATCTGTTGGTTGCCATTTTGTCCTATTGACAGTGCCCTTTGTCTTACAGAAGCTTTGCAATTTTATGAGGTTCCATTTGTCAATTCTTGATCGTAGTGCATAAGCAAATTTCCGTTCAGCAAATTTTCCCTGGTGCCCATGTGTTTGAGGTTCTTCTCCACTTTCTCTTTTATTAGTTTCAGTGTATTTGGTTTCATGTGGAGGTCCTTGATCCACTTGGACTTGAGCTTTGTACAAAGAGATAAGAGTGGATCAATTTGCATTCTTCTACATGTTGACCACCAGTTGAACTAGCATCATTTGTTCAAAATGTTGTCTTTTTTCCACTGTATGGATTTAGTTCCTTTGTTAAAGATAAAGTGACTATAGGTATGTGGGTTCATTTCTAGATCTTCAATTCTATTCCATTGATCTACCTGCCTGTCACTGTATCAATACCATGCCATTTTTATCACTATTGCTCTGTAGTACAGCTTGAGGTCAGGGGTGGTGATTCCCCCAGAAGTTCTTTTATTGTTGAGAATAGTTTTTGCCACCCTGATTTTTTGTTATTCCAAATGAATTTGCAAAATTGCTCTTTCTATCTCTATGATGAATTGAGTTGGAATTTCGATGAGGATTGCATTGAATCTGTAGATAGCTTTTGATAAGATGTCCATTTTCACTTTTTTAATCCTACCAATCCATGAGCATGGGAGATCTTTCTATCTTCGGAGGTCTTCAATTTCTTTCTTCAGAGACTTGAAGTTCTTGACATACAGGTCTTTCATTTGTTTGGTTAGATGTAAAATATCACACCAAGATATTTTTTATTGTCTGTGACTATTGCAAAGCATGTCGTTTCCTAATTTCTTTCTTAGCTCGTTTTTTTTCTTTGACTAGAGGAAGGCTACTGATTTGTTTGAGTTAATTTTATATCCAGCCACTTTGGTGAAGTTGATTATCAGCTGTAGGAGTTCTCTGGTGGAACTTTTGGGGTCACTTAAGTATACTATCCTATCATCTGCAAATAGTGACATTTTCCTTCCAATTTGTATCCCTTTGAACTTCTTTTGTTGTTTAACTGCTCTAGCTACAAATTCAAATACTATATTGAATAGATAGGAGAGAGTGGGAAACCTTGTCTACTCCCTGATTTTATTTCAATCTTCTTTTATCTGTTGAGGCCTATTTTGTGACTGATTATATGGTCAAATTTGGAGAATGTACTATGAGGTGCTGAGAAGAAGGTATATTCTTTTGTTTTAGGATGAAATGTTCTATAGATATCTTTTAAATCCACATGGTCCATAACTTCTGTTAGCTTTACTGTGTCCCTGTTTAGTTTCTATTTTCATTGATGAGAGTGGGATGTTGATGTCTCCCACTATTATTGTGTGCAGTGCAATGTGTGCTTTGAGCTTCAGTAAAGTTTCTTTATGAATGTTGGTGCCCTTGAATTTTGAGCATAGATGTTCAGAATTGATAGATTTTTCCTTTGATGTGTATGAAGTGTCCTTCTTTATATTTTTTAATAACTTTTGGTAGAATGTTGATTTTATTCAATATATAATGGCTTCTTCAGCTTGTTTCCTGGGACCATTTGCTTGGAAAATTGTTTTCCAGCCTTTATTCTGAGGTAGTGTCTGTCCTTAACACTGAGGTGAGTTTCCTGTATGCAGCAAAATGCTGTGTCCCATTTACCTATCTAGTTTGTTAATCTATGTCTTTTTTTACTGGGGAATTGAGTCAATTAAGAGATGTTAAGGAAAAGTGATTGTTACTTCCTGTTAATTTTGTTGTTATACGTGGAATTATGTTTATGTGGCTATCTTCTTTTGAGTTTGTTGAAAGATTAATTCATTGCTTTTTCTAGGGTGTAATTTCCCTCTTTGTGATGGAGTTTTCAATCTATTATCCTTTGTAGGGCTGGATTTATGAAAAGATATTTAATAAATTTGGTTTTGTCATGGAACATCTTGGCTTCTTCATCTATAGTAATTAAGAGTTTTGCTGGGCATTATAGCCTGAGCTGGCATTTGTGTTCTCTTATGTCTGTATGATGTCTGTCCAGGATCTTTTGCTTTCATAGTCTCTGCTGAGAAGTCTGGTGTAATTCTGATAGGTTTGATGTAATTTTGATAGGACTGCCTTTATATGTTACTTGACCTTTTTCCCTTACTGCTTTTAATATTCTTTGTTTTGTGCATTTGGTGTTTTATTATGTGACAGGAGAAATTTCTTTTCTGGTCCATTCTATTTGGAGTTCTGTAGCCTTTTTGTGTATTTATGGGCATCTCTTTAGGTTAGAGAAGTTTTCTTCTATAATTTTTGTGAATATATGCTGGCCGTTTAATTTGAGAATCTTCACTCTCTTCTATACCTAATATCCTTAAGTTTGGTCTTCTCATTGTGTCCTGGATTTCCTGCGTGTTTTGTGTTAGGAGAATTTTGCATTTTGCATTTTCTTTGACTGTTGTGTCAATGTTTTCTGTGGTATCTTCTGCACCTGAGACACTTCTGTCTCTTGTATTCTGTTGGTGATGCTTGTGTCTATGAATCCTGATCCCTTTCCTAGGTTTTCTATCTCCAGGGTTGTCTCCCTTTGTGATTTATTTATTGTTTCTATTTCCATTTTTATATACTGGATGGTTTTGTTCAATTCCTTCACCTGTTTGGTTGTGATTTTCTGTAATTATTTAAGAGATTTTTTGTGTTTCCTCTTTAAGGACTACTACCTGTTTACCTGTGTTCTCCTGTGTTTCTTTAAGGGAGTTATTTATGCCCCTCTTAAAGTCCTCTATCATCATCATCCTGAAATGAGATTTTAAATCAGAACCTTGCTTTTCTGATGTGTTGGGATATCCAGGGTTCACTGTGGTGGGAGTACTTGGTTCTGATGATAAGTAGCATTGGTTTTTGTTGCTCATGTTCTTGCCCTTGCCTCTTGCCATTTGATTATCTCTGGTGTTACCTGGTCTTGCTGTCTCTGACTGTGGCTTGTTCCTCCTGCAATACTGTGTGTCAGTATTCCTGGGAGAACAGTTTTTTTCTGGTAGGAATTTGGATATGGAGAGCTATGGCACAAGGTCAGCTCTGGGGTGCAGACTGAATCTGGAAGGATCCTGTTCCTGGATCTTCCTTGGTTCCTGTGTCCTGATGACTCTGGGCTGGTCCCTCTTGGGCCAGGAATTTGAGCAGAAGTGGTGGTCTTACCTGTGCTCACAGGTGTGCCAGAAGTCCTGGGAAACCAGCTCTCTCCGGGCAGTTTTGGGGTATGGAGAGGTGTGGTACAGGATCAGATCAAGGCACAAAAGGAAACTGGAAGTCATCTAGAAAATTTATCAGACCAATGATTGTAACACATTTCTTAGGAAATATAAATAACTGACACTCTATGAAAAATGTTCCAGGTGTAAACTATTTTTTGAATCTTTGAACATATCATTTTGATGTTGTACATCTATATCTATCTATCTATCTATCTATCTATCTATCTATCTATCTATCTATCCATCCATCTATCAATCAGTATGTCTTGGCCAGGAAATGAAAATAGCAGTCATTGAAAAGAAAACATATTTGTCAAGAACCAACTAGAAGCAAGATATTTAGCTTTATGTTATTGTGTTTTTATGGAAAAACATTTTAAATACTTCAAAGAGAAAATTATGGGGCTGAAATTAAAATCTATATTTCTAGTAGTACAGGCTTCTCAAACTTGCTCTGTAGCATCTAATAACCTTGAACTGATCCTCCTGTTCCCATTTTCCAAGTGCTGATACCAGAACAGGAAAGTCATTGTGCTTAATGGTAAGAAATAATACTTTTTGTGTAGAAGCTGGGTGGGTATTGAATACATATACAGCTGTCTTTACATGTTTGCTTTTCCAATTCTTATATTACAATGCAGATTAACAAGTTGTTAAGGCCAATGGCTGTAACTATTAATTCATATCTACTTCAACAGTAGCTTAGTTTTAACACATTAGTGTGTTTTTCATTTTGAGGGGTTAGCTAGTGCGTAAGTTCATGCTCACATTGCAATTATGATGATTATATATGTAGATCCCTCAAACGCACTTATAATTCAGTTCACATTCCCCAGTTGTCTCCTTTCCAGGGATGCTTTGTCAGAGAATACATAGTAGGAAGCACTCTGCTAGCCTGAGGATCTGCTGTGACAACAGCAGGACCACTCAAGTCATATTCTATGGATGCTTTTCTCTAAACCCTCACAGTGAAGAAAACTGAGGAAGCATATTTTAAATCACCATTAGTTACTTGAAAGATGCCGCAGAAGAGAAGAGCATGTGTCACCCTCTTTAGATTGTTAAACCTCCTGTTTGTCTGCACCCAGGTTTGCAGAAGAAGTGACTGCCAAGTGGCTTTGTCTCTTTGAAGGAAGTGGGATCCCATATGGCCCAATCAACAGTCTAAAGGATGTGTTTTCAGAAGCCCAGGTTCGTACTTTTGAATTTTCTAGTTGCTTTTTTTTTTTAATCCTTATTGACTTACATAAAGGAGCAATAACTATTGATCTTAGGCCTAAGTCACATGACACAGTATTTTACTATTTGATTAAAATTGTTTGTGTTTCTAACATAGAAAGAATCATAGAAACAACTAGCTGTCTACAGTCATACTTACAAGTCTGCAAAATCAAGCATACTTAAAATACATAAAATTTTCAGAATCATGGGCCTTTTATTTCCTGATAAAGAGAAATATAGACAGGGGCCAGGACTCAATGACCACAATTGATAGAAATAAATATGATAAGTTTCACAGTTGCATTCTCTAAATCATATTAAATATCCTCTATGATCATATTAAAGCAAGTCATATCTAGTTCTATAAGGTTCAGGCCTTTATGTTTGGTTAATAGTGCTATTTACAAAGAAAAAAATATAGGCTGTGTACTGAGCAAGAAGAGGCACCTGAAAATTTTCTTCTAAAATATTCTTCAAATTTAGATGCTCTCCACACTATTTTTATGTCATACTTACTATAAGAAATAGAAACAACTTACTGTATCTTAGAGTCATGTAAATCTTCAAAATATAATGGAACTTTATTTTTTCTGTAAAGATTTTATTATGGCTCAGGTATCTTGACAGTTTCTAACACTTACAAAATTATATAGTATCTTTTCTTGAGTTATTTATCCATATATAGTAGAAGTTTTAAATTTAAATGAATTATTGCAAGTAACATACCTTTCTAAAGGAGAAAAATGTTGGAAAATCAACCTCTTTAACACCGGTGCCTTTATTTAATATAAATGTTCACTTAAAAGCAAATGTGAATGCACTTAGTTTAGAACCTATAGTTATTACTAGAGAAAAGCAAACAAATTTAAGAATTTTTTGTGTTTTATTTTCATATCAAGACAATAATCTATTTTATAATAAAATAATAGGGAGTATAGGTTTTATATTAAGTGGGTATGGTGTGTCTTGTGTGAGTAATCAGGAAGGGACCCCTGCTGACTCCTGGAAAGAGGTGAGCATGTGCACATCTGTCTGTAATGCATGATGGTGGTTTGCTCACTTGATGCCTTCACCTGTCACTTTATGGAGGTGTTGTGAGCTGTATAGGACTTCCAGTTTATGTCAACTTAGTGTATATTTTCCTAGAGAGTTTATTCATCAACAGTTTTGTTATTCAGTGAATATCTTATCAGGAACAATGTTGCCAAAGCAAAAGTAAATTTCTGCAACACAAGTTTACAATATTTTCTAGTTTTAGGTTTTGCTTTATTTTTGTATTTTAAAATTTTACCCACTACTGTACAGTAGGTCAAGTGATGGTCTTAGAAGTGAATATTAGTTCATTCATATTTTCATTACTAATTGAACCTTGTAGTCTTAACAAGTGAAATTTGTTACTTTAATGAATGAAATATAATAATTTTCATTGCAAAGTAATTGTTATGGAATGCAAACGCTTTTTGTTTGTTTTCAGTCTATGGCACTATTTAGTCATTATACTATTTATCAATGAGGAAGAATGATATTATTTGTTAGATATCATCGTCTCATATCACCTACAAAGACTTTACAATCAGCTCTCTTACCCAGCAAAAGTGGAGTCTACTTGTAATTCTATCATCATAAATATTTAATTATACTCCGATTGCTATTGATAAATGAAGTGTAAAAAAAATCTTCCTTATTCACAGTCAAATCTTTCTTTGGAATTTAAGTATGAAATGTATTTGTGCAACTTCTGTGGACTTTTGTAAACAATAGGAAGCAATGTATTGTAAACATTACAGAAATAATCAAAGATGACTATGAAATTTTCAAGTGTTCTTGTTTGTTCTATCCAAGAGTTGGACTGCCTTCTTTTCCTTGTACTTGAAGTATTTGTCCTGTCCAAATTTTGAATTTGTAAAATCTTATATAATGTGGGGGAAATCAGAGTTAAAAAATGTATGAAATACTTTTAAAAACTACATTAATGTGTGACATGTAAAATTGTCCAATCAATCACTCTGTTGGCTCATTCATGAAATCCTAGCACTCTGGAGGTTGAGTCAGGCAGAATGTCATGAGTTCAAGGCCTCTTTGGGCTACATAGCAAGTTTCAGTACTGCTACGGCATCTTAAAAGCCAAAGATATAAAAATATAAACTACCATTTAAAAGAGTTTGTCACTTATCCAGTTGCCTTATTGTATTTACTAGGTACCAAATGCTAGAGATTTAGTATAAATTTAGTATTCTCTGTATTTCTAAAAAAATAAATTAAAATTGAATGAAATAGCAGGTATGTAATAATATTTGTAGATTCATGAATCATTAATTTAAAATTTGGTTAACTTTGGGGAGTACAGGTTTTCTAAGTTTAAAGTGGTTCCTTTTTGCCTCTGAAAATGGACTGACCAACCTTATTTTTAGGATTAGAAGAATTGATTTTGATGATTTAAGGGACTGTGTGTAAAATAGTGGGCAAGTGTCAGAATTGCTACATTTATTACACATTTATCAGCATTCTAAAGTAAACATTTTTCTACATGTCAAATGTTAAAATAGAGTTTTATTGCTCTGTTATACAGTGTTATTGCAGCATCAGATGAGATGTTACCAGAGAGTAGGAGTACAGGGAAGGCTAGATAGTAACTCAGTGCACTAGCAGCTTTTATTATAATGGTGCCTCTGGTGGTTTGAATGAAAATGGCCCCTATATGGTCATTTGCTTTGAAGCTTGTTCCCAGTTGGTGGAACTGTTGGGGAAGGATTTTGGGTGTGGCCTTATTGGAGCAGGTCTCTTGGTGAGAGTTGGCCTTGAGATTTGAAAAGACTCACACCATTATCAGCTAGGTCTCTCTGCCTCAAGCTTATAGGTCAAGATGTAAGCTCTTCGCTACTGCTCAGAGCTATGGCTGCCTGCCTGCTGCCATGCTCCCCATTCTCTGAAACTATGAGCCCCAAATAAACTACTCTACAAGTTGCGTTGGTCACGGTGCCTTACCACAGCACCTGAAAAATATTTAAGACATGTTAATGTAATTATTTAAAATGGTGGCATTCAATTTCTTAATCAGCTGCCATGCTCCTGACTAGCCTAGGCCTGCGGCCAGGAGCAGCTGCAGCCATACTGCCACTGCTCAGCTCGGGCCATCGGCTCAGGTAGTGAGAGACACCAGCCCTGCTACCCACGAGATGCCAGCGTGGGTGATAGCTCTGGCAATCTTCCACACTGTCTCCACAGGCTGGGCATTGCCCAGACCATCCAGCCTGCCATGCAGACCCGGTAGGAAAATGAGACTCTAATGCTTAAATATTAATCAAATGCTTTATATGTTTGGTAATGTTCAATAACAATATGCCCATACAATTAGAGTTGTTTCCCAATTAGCTAACTTAAATATAAGTTGTTACCCGAGACTGTTCTTACCTGCGTGGCTGTTCACCCTCCTACATCTCTGCCCTCTCTAGCTCCTCCTCTTCCTTTTCCTCTTCTTCTCCTTACTCCTCCCACTTTAGCTCCTCCTACAAAGACAGTGCTCTTTAGGTTTTATTGTTTCAGATACATCTGCTTTACCTATGCTTATGAGCAGAGTCACCTCCATTCTAGCCATGAAGTTAATTCTCTAAAGTCATACTCTTGCTACCTTTTTATAAAAATGTGTTCACAAATTCTTTGCCAAAAGTGTGTGGCCCTCCCTCATTTCTGATTGACAGTCCTCTAGTTTTTAATTTTCCATAGAAAGTATTTTTTGAAGTATGATTTTTGTTTGAAGTACCTTCCTATTTTTTTCCTCTTATGAATTAGAGAGTTTCTTGGCCCTGGGTCTAAAAAACTGGCCACTTTCTTTCAGATGTGGGAATGGCCACTGGTTCTGTGGCCCTATGCCCCATGTGTGCTGTGCCAGCACAGCTGCTTGCTTAATTAGAAATCACTTTGGGCGAAGTACAAGGCCTGGAACAAGGCACAGGAAGGAAGTCCCTGATGAGGTGAAAAGGGGTATGTCCAACTATGGAGGTGGGAAAGGGGGACTGAAAATTCAAAGAATAAAAGAGAATTTTGCGTGCCATTTACCTACCACCTGTGGTTGGAAAGACTTGGTAGAAAATTAAAATTTACTTGATGGCTTTATTATTTTCCTTTAAAAAAGAAAATTTGAATTTTCATCTCAACTGAAAGGCAACATATTATATGCTGTTTATTAGCTAGATAGAAGATTTCCTACCTTTTACTCCTCTGATTAAATGATCTGATCTTTGAATGATTCAAGTGACCCCGTGAATATCTGCTGTTAATGACAAATACCAGAGGGGTTTTGCCTGAATGTACCAATAGTTCTGAGATGTTTTGATGCAAAAGTCTTGAAGTGATAGTTTTATTGTTTTCCTCTCCCAATGACAAATTATCAAAGGGAAGCACAACACATTATAGAATGTAATATAGATTATCTACATGTAGATTTTAATAGTTAGCTTCTTTCCCAAGTGCTTTCTTAAAATATCTTTTTTATTAATCAGGCCAAGATTGTGCAGTACATTAAAGGAATTCGTAAAACGTTTTAACAGCTTACTAGATGACCTCAGCATGGTCCTATGAATATGCCCTTGGGAACATGTGCATGAGATACACTGTGGTTTGAGGGTTTCCAACTCAAGTAAACTTAAAAGAAAATGAACTTTTAATAGAAACTATTCAAGTTCCTGCAAAACTAGGTATGGATCCTACCACGGAGAGCATTAAAAAGCACTATTACCTACACTGAGCATCAAGGAGCACTCCAGGCTGCCCTAGGACTTCCCTGAAGACTGTATTTGGTCATTCTTGAATATCATCATCTTATTCTCAACTGTGAATGATTAGAGCACCCATGTTTCATGTTTTTCTTTGTCCTTGATGTTATGACCTGAGGGAGGGGAAGAAGGGCAAAGGGTGTCACAAATTGGTGTTATTTACCATAATTTTCCATTTGTACCACACAAGTTGAATAT